ACATGTACAAAAATATTTACAGCAGCTCTTTTTGTGGTGGCAAAGAACTGGAAATTGAGAGAATGTCCATCAATCGGGAAATGGCTGAACAAGCTGTGGTATATGAATGTAATGGAATACTATTGTGATACAAGAAATGATGAACAGGCTGACTTCAGAAAAACCTGGAAAGACTTGTATGGTCTGATGCTGAGTGAAGTGAGCAGAACCAGAAGAATGTTGTACAGAGTAACAGCCACAGTGTATGATGACAAATATTGATACACTTAACCCTTCCTGGCAATACAAGGATCTAAGACATCTCCAAAGGCCTCAAAGATTTACTATGGAAAATGCTATCCACATCAAGATAAAGAACTCTGGAGTCTGAATGCAGATGGAAGCATACTATTTGCTCTCCTTTTGTTTTGTTTGTTCTTTCTCATAGTTCCTCTCATTAATTCTAATTCTTCTTTATTTCACAACTAATGTGAAAATATGTTTAATATGAACATATAAGTAAAACCTATATCAGATTGCACACTATTTTGGGGAGGGGGGAAGGAAGGGATGGGAAGAAAATTTAAAACTCAAAATCTTATGGAAGTGAATGATGAAAACTAAAAATATTTTTTAAAAAAAAAACATTTAAAAAAGAAATGATGAGCAAGTTGATTTCAGGAAAACATGGAAAAATTTGCAAGAAATAAGGAAGAGTGAAATGAGCAGAACCAAGAGAATGTTGTATGCAGTAACAAAAATATTATTTGAAGAATAACTGTGAATGACTAAGTTGTTCTGAGTATTATAATTACTCAAATCAACTACAAAGAAAGATGCTATCTACTTCCAGAGAAAGAACTGATAAATAGAAGTATGCATAGTATGGTTTTACATACACACACACACACACACACACACACACACACACACACACATGGAGAGGGGGAGAGATAGTTCAGAACTTAAAATGTAACCAAAAAAATTAAATTAAAAAAAAGAAAAGAAAATACTAGATCTTGGGCATTCCCATGGTCTTTTAATTTTGTAACCTTATCAAAAAGGAAAATGAAGTTAGTTTAGCATGACATTCTTACTGAACCCATACTGGTTCCTAGTGTCCAACTCTTTTTTTTAAGTTCTTATAAAACATCTGTTTAATAATCTACTCTAGAATTCTGTGGGCAGTGAGGTGGCACAACGATAGAATGTTGGAGTCAGGAAGACCTGAGTTTAAATCCTGTCCCAGACAGTATCTATATGACCCTGGATAAGTCACTCAACCTCTCTCAGACTCAGTCTCCTCATCTGTAAAATGGAGATAATTACAGCATCTACCTTAGAAGTTGTTGTAAGGATTAAGTGAGATAACATATAAAGTATATTGAAAACCTTAAAGTACTATATAAATGCTAGCTGTTACTATTATTTTCTCTGGGATAGCCATCAAAGTTTTACCTATGTTTACCAGAATCTATTCTTTTCCCCATTTGAAAAATAGCACTATGTCTACACATTATTTAGTCTCCCTATATTCCACTAACACACAAAAGAGTTCACTAAAGTGAAAAAACTATCTGTAAGGATATAAAGAAATAATCATGTTTTGTATATTTACTATCCTTATTTAAAGATGCTGCTGCTAATGGTGTATAATCTATGTGTACAACTGTAACTGCAAAGTTTGTATGACATTCCCAAATGTAATTTTTTTTAACCTAGGTAAATTCAGTTTAGATTCTGACCTATCTGTTAATACCAGTTCAAGACAGATCAGCTTATAAGGGTGGAGTAATGATCTTTGGAATGGAATATTTAATAAACAGTACTTTCCTCAGTGTCAGATTTCCAAAATATTGTGTTAGCTTTTTTTAGCTACATTTTTAACAGTTAACAAATTAACTACTTTAGATTGTGCTACTAAAGAAACATCTTAGTTTCATGTTGCTTGTATATTTTGAAACCAGTGTTTAGCTTTTTCTTATATGAGACAGCAATTTTTCTATTAATATTTAATATTAGAAAACCTTAGCCAATATGAGAAGTTATTCTACATTCACTTTGCAGTTCTTGGGGAAGGGGGGTGTTTGAGTGGGTTGGTTTGTTTGTTTTAATACAGAAAAACTGGTCCATCTTGTCACACAGGAAATGGGTTCTAAGTATGGGCCAAATTACTGAATATCCTTCCAACACCTGGCTCCAGAAAATAATTACTTTAATGTATTTCTAATGAGGACTGGATTCTAACCAAGATGAAAAGGCTTAAACTCATTAAGTAAAATGCCTAGAGTTTCTTTAAGAGAATCTCAAACTCTTAATACAAGCAGGAGGGGGTCTATTAAAAAATCTTTTAAATATATTTGGACTTCATTTTCCTTCAATAAAAGGGCCAGTAGAACATTGGAATTTGAATCTGTAGCATTTTAAAAGTGTAATAGTTTCCGTTCATTTTCAAAGACTTCAGTGACTAAAGCCATCCAACAATGAAACAAATGACATTATAAGGTATTGAGTATGCTCTGACTGGACATATTTAAGCAGTTAAGCAGAAACTGAACTATCACATATCAAGGATCCTTTAGAAAGGATTTAAGCCTAGAATGAGAGGTTGAATTAGATGATCTCTAATAATCATATTATCTTAAAGTTGGATGAAAACTATCTTAGAAATAAATACATGACTGAAAACGACACAGAATGAATGAAAGCTAAGTGTGTTGTTATGATTTCTATTCTAACTTAACCATTGCATAAACAGAAATTAGGTTAGAGAATCCACAAGTGAACTTATTCAGAAATATAGATCATTTACTGTCGAAGACAGCAATCAAAAGCACATAGAAATAAAGAAGTTTTGTACTGGAAGAAAATCTAGAGGTCTTCCAGCTCAATTTACTAACTTCAAAGATAATGAAAAGAGGCCCAAAGATCAACTGATTTTTTTTTCCAAGGTCACTGTTTTAGTCTAAGAATCTGTGTTAACACCCAAGTATCTGACTTGCTAAACCAATGCTCTTTCCACACCACTGCAGCTGCTTTAAAAAAAAAAAAAACGCTGAGCCAAAAAGGACTGGCTTCGTGGGTGTTTTGAAGACAAGAGGCAAAGGAAGTAGACTTAGCAAGCAGGAAAGGACAAAAACTGTCCAAATGTTTTTCCCCCATGTCTTGTAGTAAAACTCAGATGTCTTCCTACTTTGGTCTAACTACAAAAGAGGAAGCACAAAAACTACAAAAGAGTAGTTGGGCACCAACTTCAGGCTTCATTTGAGCAAAGGGCCAGTTTTCAGACATCAATTCTGACCTACAAATAAAGCATCTCACATTATAGTACTACTATGCTCGTACAGGATTTATCAATGCTTTAATCTGCCAAATACAATAATGCTAATATTCCGACCTCTCTGAAAACAAATAGATGAAGTCTCTCACAGTGCAGTAATATCAAAAGTGATTAACCCCGTACTCAATTAAATTTCAACCTACAAAACTAACATTAATGATGACTACATGGAATCCTTGTGGACAGCAGATAATCCACGGGCCCTGGTCAGCTTTGTGGACAAATGCAGCGAAAGGAGATTCCATACAGGTGAACCTAACAGTTCTGGTTGCAATGTTGACAAGTACAGGTGCCTGAAAACTAAGCCCTTTGTCCATATTTATGGAAAGCTCCCTGTACTCAAAGGGGAGATAGTTATCAACTACAAGTGAAAACTAATTCACTACCTGCACCTCACAATGCAAAGAGAAAAATCTCCCAGGATTTTGTCTTTGAGCAATTCTATCTGTCCTAAAGAGCCAGCCATTTGAATTCAACACTGGACCCCAATACCTTTTCATCCATGAGGTTCTCTTGTCCATTGGGGCAAAGATAAACCTTCAATATTCTAAAACTTCAAGATCCCTAGGAACAACTTATGATTTACACACACTTGCACCTTGCCCCCAAATGGTCCAAGGTATGGGGGAAAAGACCACAGGGGTATTCTCTTCATTCACTTTCCTAGTCATTAGGGTATTCAACCTTGACTTCCAAATCAAACAATGAGTCTCCAGGATCTCTCCCCATCCCCCAAACACACAGACATCCAGGGCTGCATCCTTCTAACCTACAGACACAATTAACTCGTAACTTAAGCCACACACACACACACCCCTAACCTAAAACACACCCACACCCACACAGAGTCCTATCCTCCCAAACCATATATACTCCCCACCTAAAACATACAAACCCCAAGTCACACATACACACACACACACACACACGCACAAAGTGTCATCCTCCTAACCCCCCACACACAAGTCTTATCCTCCTAAACCACATACAACCCCAACCTAATATACACACAAAAAATCATTAAGTCCCATCCTCCTAACTCCCATACAGAGTCCCATTCTCCTAAACCACATACAGCCCCCAACACACACACACACCCCACAAGATCATACACACAGAATCCCAGCCTCCTGAATCTCTCTCTCACACACACACACACACTACAAGATCACACACACAGAATCCCAGCCTCCTGACACTCTCTCTCTCTCACAGACACACACACTACTAGATCATACACAGAATCCCAGCCTCCTGAATCTCTCTCTCTCTCTCACACACACACACACACTGAATCCCAGCCTCCTGACACTCTCTCTCACACACACACTACGAGATCACACACACTGAATCCCAGCCTCCTGACACTCTTTCACACACACACACACACACACACACACTACTAGATCATACACACAGAATCCCAGACTCCTGAATCTCTGTCTCTCTCACACACACACACACTGCACCCCATCCTCCTAAAGCACAAACACATCGGCACACACCAGGATATCGCACACAGCCCCGTCCTCCCCAACCTCACACACACGCACGCACACCACAGCCCGGTCGCGTCCTCCGGGGCTCCGGCGCTGCCGCCCCGCCGCCCTCCGCCCGCCCCCGCCCCAGCTGGCTGTGACAGCCCGGCCCGGCCCGCCCGGGGCCCCAGGACCCCCCTCACCGGCGCTCGCCCAGTCTAGGCCTCCTCGCTCCGAGCCGCGTTGCGCAGCCCGCCGCCCAGCCTCCCGCACGCTACTCCGGCTCTGGCAGCTGCCAAGGCCCGAGACTGCTGGGCCCCGCACACGCGCCCTCCGCCCGGCTCGGCCCCGCCCGGCCCCGCTCCGGGTTGGCTCCGCAGCTCCCCCAGGGGCTCCGTCCGGGCCCCGCCGCCGCTTCCCGTCACGTGGGGGCCCGCCCCGGTGTACAAAAGGACGAAGGCCTGCGCCTCTGATTGACAGGAGCCGAGAGGGGAACCCGGCACCTGATCCTCGCAGCCGCGCTCCCGACCCCCTCCCCTCCCCTCCCCTTCCCTGCCCGCGGCGGAGGAGGAGGGGCACGGAGGGAGGGGGCTGGGGAGGGCTCGAGCTTCACGGCCTTACGGTCCCTGCGCTCTCCCCGGGGAGTGGGTGTGAGGGCGCCGCGCTCCCTGTGTCCGGGCTGCGCCGAGCCGCGTGTGCTCGGGCCTGGAGCTCCGGGCCTGGGCCGGGCGGGCGCCCCAGGCGCAGCAGGGCAGGTGTTCTCCTAGTAGCTGGGATAATAGTGACATTAGCTCCGCCTACACCTCCTTCGCCTTACCCCCCTTACCTTCTCCTCTCCCCCTTCTCCCCTTCCCCTCCTTCTCTGCCCTGTCCCCTCTCCTTTTCCCTTCTTTCCTTCCTCCGAGTTGTCTCTGTCTCCCTCTCTCTCTCTGTCTCTGTCTGTCTCTCTTTTTCTCTTTCCCCCTCCCTCTCTCTTATTCTCTCCTTATCTATCCCTTCTCTCCCCCTCCCCCTCTTTCTCTCCCCCCTCACCGCTCTCCCTTCCTTTTCCCCCTTCTCTCCCATCTTTCTTTTTCTCCCCTCCCCCTTCTTTCTCTCCTCTTTCCTTCCTCTCTCTTTCCTTCTTCCTCTCTTTCTCTGCCCCTTCCCTCTTTCTCTCTTCCTCTCCCTCCCCCTTCCTCCCCCTCTCCCTTTCTTCCCACGCCCATCCACTTTGACCCAGGGCAAAAAGGAGGGTGGATCTTCCCGTTGTGAGGTAGGAGAAGGTTCCTAATATCTGGAAGAACCTTCAACACACTGTTGAAAGTTGAGTTCTAGGAAGGTACCCCTTGACCCCAAATCTTTTTCTTCCCAGTGGCTGAAATTATGCCATTAGAGATTTATTCCTCTAGGTCAAACATTGCCCTTTCTGGTTAGTCTTCTTTTAAAATGCAGGTTCTATTCTTGGAGAGTGATAACCCTTTCAATGTTTCATACGTTTAGTGTTTTGCTTGTTGAAATTGTTGGTTGCAGTGCATTAGTGTTAACTGTTTATTATAAAGATCAAGCTTGGCTTTTTGCTGAAAGAGAATTATGCAATTCTGATTAGCAAAAAGCTTGATCTTTGGCTGAAATTCTGATTATGAAGGAAATTTCTTCTCTTAGAAATCCTAATAAAATGCAAACCTCTCTCTTTGCAGAGGAAGGGGACTATGGGTGTTGCCTTTGTAGAAGTGTTGGTTGGTTAGGTTGAATTGCTTTATTTCCCCTTTTTCTTCCCCTCCCCTTAATTACAGGAAATTGCTCTCTGGATGGGAGGGGGCAATGAATTTTTAGAAAATGTATAGTGGTGAAGATGATACAAAAACAAAAGATAACAGCAAAAATTCAACTTAAAAACAACAACAACAACATCTTTCCTCCAGACAATCAAGACCCCAGAGCAATGTTGAGTAAGAATGCTAAGCTTGGAGCAGAAAGGAATAGAGGTGAAGAAGGCCCTGGAGACAAATTCTTGCCTACCGCTACTTTACCTAGGGCTAGTCCTGGTACCAAGACACAAAGCTGCTTCTGTAAGTCATTTCTTTGACCCTCTCCCTAGTCAACTTATCTCTCCATCCCCACAAATGCAAGGTTTCTATGTAGGGGAGGGGAGGCAAATTCATTGCTTTCTGGAGTAGTTAACTGAGAGGAACAAGGATATATACATGAAAAAAATTCAGTGTGGTCAAAAGAGTGTACTCATAATTTTAAAAAATATTGCTATATTTTGTTTTTTCATTACCTTCATTTCCAAATATATCTGCCCCCCCACCTCCACCCAGGGAGCCATCCCTTATAACAAAAAAGAAAGGGAGAAAAACAGTTTAGTAAAACCTTAATTTCCAAATATACCTCCCTCACTGTCACTCAAGGAGTCATCCATTATAACAATAACAAAGGAAGAGGGAAAAATAATTTGGTAAAACTAACCAAAACTTAAAGTGGAATCTGACAGTGTATGTAGTGTTCCATACCCTTAGTCTCTCACTTCTGCAAAGAAGTGAAAGAGGTACCTCTCTTTTTCCAAGCCAACCTTGGTCATCATAATCAGAAAAGATATTCCTGGCAAAAGCAACCTCCACTCCAGGAGGCAAAATCAGTAAAGCAAAGGTGTTAGAATCTATGACATTAGAGTGGAAAGGTCCTACGTGCCTGATAGCCAGGTGAGCCTACTTTGTTCCATCTTCCCTTGCCTAAATTGTCCCTAAAACCTCGTGTTGCTTGAAGAATTCTTCTCTAAATGGAGGTGAAATGACATTCTACACGTGTACCCCCAAACTCCCCTGCATACACATACACCTCCACTAGTTTATACTTTGAAACCATAAAACCTGGGACTGCTAGGTGGTACAGTGGATAGATCACCGGCTCTGAAGTCAGGAGAACCTAAGTTCAAATCCAGCCTCAGACACATAACACTCACTAGCTGGGTGACTGTGGGCAAGTCACTTAACCCCAATTGCCTCCCTGCAAAAAAGAAAGAAAATATAAAATCCTCACCAACATACTTTTAATGAGATTTATTTTTTCCATTTAAATATTTTTTCTTTGTTCCCCTTTATATCTATATCTACCTAATGGTCTTCTTTGGGTTCTTCCACCTTTTCATCATAGTCGAAGTTCAAATTTAAGCAAAGCAGTCTTTCAATTCCATCCCCATTATTTTTGTAGTGTTTAGTAGTAGATGTTCTGACCTCAGTGTTATAGTTTTAAATAAAACCACAGTTTGATCCAAAATACACAATTGTAAATAATTTTTTATCTTAGGTTGAATAGGAGGAAGAAAGCAAGCTAGATTTTCTTTCCACAGTTCTGATTATCCCAAGCTTTACCTAAAAGAAAGGCTTAACTTTTTGATACCAATAATCTTACACTGATATGTGACTATGAGTCTTGGAATACTATAGTCTCCAAAGAACTAAAGTTGATCACCCAAAGGGCAATGGAAAGTCATTTGATGGCTTTGAATAGGCTGCAAATTATTGTATGTGACAAATTAGGCAAGAGATGTTCTCAAATATGTGACAAAAAAAAAAAACAACTAGGAGGGATAGCTGATGCTATCACTTACAACTGGTACCTTCTTGATTTTTTTTTTTCTTTTTAGGCAATTGGGGTTAAGCGACTTGCCCAGGCTCACATGGCTAGTGTCAAGTGTTTGGTCTGAGGTCAGATTTGAACTCAGGTCCTCCTGACTTCAGGCGCAATGCTCTATCCACTGCACCACCTAGATGCCCCTACCTTCTTCATGTTAAGAGAATTCAAGGAAGGGCCTCTGCAAGTTAGAATTTAATATATTGAATTTATTGGAAGATATGGACTATAGTCATATAGAATTGGCAGGTATGGATCAGTTTTAATCTATGTTATTGAAAAGATATCCACGTGAACGAGATCACAGATCCTTTGGAATTGTTGTTCATCCTTTGTTCTTGAGGAAGACCGAGGACTTCATGGGGACAATGACTTGACTTGCAAGTGAATTGGATTTAAGTGAGGCAGAGCCATGCAAAATCAGCTTCACTCTCTCCCCCAGAGTCACTGGAGTCCAATGGTAAGACTACTGATCCAGACTACTGGCAATGATCTGGGTTATAGTAGGGGACTAGTTTAGAACAACTGTATAGCTATCCTGCCTGTACATACAAATGTTTTTGATTATGTATTTTCATTTATTTGCTATTAGAGTGCAGAGGCAGTGCTTGTGTTATTGTTTTAGATAGTCTACAATGCTATTAGTGCTATGCTTAGGTTTTCTTTATCTGAAAAAACAAAACAAAACAAACAACCCTAACATTGACCCTGTCACTTCCTTAAGTTATTATCATATATGTTCCTACCTATTCACTGGTAAACTTCCAAAGAGAATAGTTTATATTTGGCTATCTCCACTTCTTTACTACCCACTCATTTCTTAGTCCCCAGAAACCTGGCTTCCTTTCTACCTTCACTGAAACTGCCCTTACCAAGGTCTACAATATGACATATGTCAACCAAATTTATATATCAGTTCATTTAATAATGTATATAGGGTTAGAAATGAGTCCTGAATAAGACTTCCAGGTGACCATTAGGAGATGGTCTGCACTAGACTTGTTTGAGATTTACAGAGCAAGAAAGAGATGTGAACAAAAAGACAGATGATTAAACATAAATTTCAGGCTATTAAATAGATGCAAATATATAAACTGGATTAATAGTTGTCAGATCTGCATGCTGTTTCAAAACCCAACTTTGATATTGAATAGCTAGCTGCTGAACTATATTCAGTTCAATAAGTATTTTATTAATCAGTAAGCAATTATTAAGTGCCTACTATGTGCCAGGTGCTGTTGTGTTAGGGATGCAAAGACAACATTGAAAAGTCCTTGTGGTCAAGTTGTTTATATGGACAGTAAATACACACACTCTTAAACCCCCCCCCCAAAAAAAACCTATGCAAAATACAAACAAAGTAGTTTCTAAGGGGGGCATTAACTACTAAAATTCAATTTACAAATTCAATTTTATTTTATTTTCTGTCCCAAATTCTTTCCCTTTCTCCCCCTCCTCTACACATTGAAAATGTAAGAAAAGCAAAATCCATTACAAAGTGCATAGTCATGCAAAACAAATACTCACATTAGTCATATTCAAAAGAAATCTTTTTTAAAGGAGAAGAAAATATGCTTCAATTTGTACTTTGAATCCATTAGTTCTCTATCTGGTGGTGGACAGCATGCTTCATCATGAATTCTTTGGA